CTCTCTCTCTCTCAAGACTGTACGCAAAAGCCTGAACTAGAGCAATGCTTAGATATTTGGGGAAGAACCCTTCTGCATGGAAAGCTGTTTGAAGGGAGGACGGTGGTTCGTTTGGGACGATAAAAGCCAGAAAGAGAAAGTGTACGTAGGTTGCTTCCCGTTTGCCTCATTTATACGCCTTCCTGTGAATCAACACAAAAGTCTGCAAGCTGACATGTGTCAGCCGAAAAGTTCTACTGACAATTACTGATACCACTGACACATTTACCTAGTAGGCGTTATAAGTTAGTTATGTCCAATCAGTTTGTCGGTATAATGGACGTTTGAACGTGCCTTCATCAGCCCTGGAGCACCCTATCCAATACGCATCCACCTTAACCACTGTGTTCTTCCATTTTTGGCCGTAGAAGGACAATTAAAATGCTCTCCCATACCTGCAGTACTTTGCAATGTCTATTTGCACGATCAGCAGATCAATATTCCTGATCTGGAATTTGTACGGACGATAGGACCAATGCCGTCTCGGTAACCGCGCGTTTTCACACTCTTGATTTGTCATTCAGTGCCTGGGAATGGGGTATCGGTAATTCTGTTTGAGGACTGTCCAACAGCGAAGTCCAACCACCAGATCGTAGTAATTCTTTATAGAAGTTCTTAGGAAAGGGACATACCAAAAGAGAGACGAGCAAATTTTGATATTTTTATTAATAGTTGCGTGTCAGCCACCAACAGCGGGCCAACACGAATCCAATCTATAGCCCCCAGGAAAGTCAAAATAAAGGTTGCCTCCTGTCGTAATGCCATGTGCTAGATATCTTAGGCTGTGGAGTGGACGCTTATCTGGTGAAAATTTGCAATACCCTATATTGCTGGCGTATTCGAAGAATTCGCTCGCCTGGTCAGCGAATTTGGGATTGCCGTCGCTCACCGACCGGAAACGACAATCCGCAGGCAACTCATGCACCTAAGGGCCCAATACCCGTCAACCAGAAATCCGGTGTTATTTACCGAATTGACTGTATTTGCGGTCAAGACAGTTATGTTGGCGAAACCGGCAAACGGGTTGCCACGAGACTGCACGATCATGAACTCGCAGTGCGAAGGAAGGAAAAGCTATCCTTGGTCGCCGCCCACGCATCCTCGCCAATACACGGCTTCGACTTCGAACACGTGCGAATACTAAGCCAGTCGGACGATCGAGTTTCACGCCTGCTGCAAGAAGGATGGCACTCACACGCGGACTCTATTAATAGGTATATCGATCTCCCAGATGCCTATCTGGCGTTGCGCGAACAATGACAGGGTTCAAGGTCACTCGCGGCGGTGCAAACAATTGGAACGCAAGGTCACCCCCGGCAGAGCTGACTTAATCACGCAGTGAGCTGTACATTTTCACTCCTTGACAATGGCCCCGAGTAAGAGTTTGAAACGTCAAGCAAATAAAATACTGGTCCCAGAGAACGTTCTTCCGCCTTCTATCTACCTCACTATATACAAAACAGGGAGTAAGTTTACATTGGAGATAAACCTGACAAACCTTGAATTCCAGGTCGAATCCACTGAAGCCCATGCTATCAGTTTGCAGCAATGAAGTGAATTGAGCATATAGTCCGCGGGCCGATACCTCCGTGTAGCCACCCTCGGCCATCTCCAGGAGGGCGGAATAGACGAAGACATACTGTTCCTCCGTCTGTACCATGAAGTTTCGCTGAGCCCGCAGCGAGGTGACACATCCCAGAACATCAACCGCATTCTCATATTTCATTTGGTCGTGCATAATGTCCAGCGCAATCAGAGCACCTGACAGAAGCAACCGAACAGAAAAAGATGATGTTGCCAAATTTCATACAAATGGACGGAAACAATGATAGCCGTTTTTGGCTAATGCGAGATGTTTTAAGATCTACATAGTTACCGTCGTCCTATATAAATGGTTCTGCATGTGCGACAGTGAATGAGCCTAACATTCCATCGTGCATTATACACAGCGCAATCAGAGCACCTGAAAAAGCAACTGGATAGAAAAAGATTGAGAAAGACACGACTTAATCTCTGAGAAAATACTTTTATTCGGCTGTCGTTTCGACATCCATCGCGGATTCATCATCAAAGAC